CAAAGTGTTTTCCTTAGTGACTGTTTCATTTTGCATTCCTACTAGCAATGTGCGAGGGCTGTAGTTCTCCACATCCTTGCCAACACCTGTTGTTTTTCATTTTTTTCAATCATTGATATTTTTATGCGGGTGAGGTATTATCTCATTGTGGTTTTGATTTGCATCTCCCTAATGACTAAAAATGTTGAGCAGCTTTTCATGTGCTTGTTGGCCATTTGTATTTCTTCTTTGGAGAAATGTCTATTCAAGACCTTTGCCCATTTTTTGATTGGGTTGTTTGTCTTTTCGTTTTTCTGATTAGGTTCTAAAGCCCATTTCCGAGAATTCTTCTGAGAGTTGCCTCAGAGATTCCCCCCCAAAGTCTGTCTGGGCCAGGGGTGCCCCTATGGGTACAGTCCTCCCCCAAACTCTGGCATCACTATTATCTCTCTCTCTCTCTCACTGCACTGTAAACCCATGGGAGAAAATATCGGTGTCCTTTCTTTCTGTATTTCTGGGATTAAAACAAAAGTCATGTTTATTGAATAAGTGGTATACTTAACTATCCTTGTTTTACAATCCCCACCTCTAAAGGAAACATCTACTTTTTCAAACATTGCTGAGGAGAAGTGTCCATTTCCTGGAATGTAAGGGAAAAGGGAAAAAGAAAATTCTTTTAGAAGAAATTGGCATTATAACTACTATAACTTCCTACTCTGGGTTTGTGGACCTGCGGTGGGGGTCTTATGTTACTAAGGGTGTGGGAAATCCCTTGGAGACTTTGGGAAACAGCTGATTGGTGGCTTATGGAAGCCTTGAAAGAGAGGCCATGTGTCATGGGGCATGGAAGGAGAGGAGGGAGGGTAAGGAGGTGATTGTATGATTTATTGTCTGACAAGGCACCATCTACATGGAGAACTCTACACGCTAGCCAAGACACACAGATAAAGATAGGCTGTTCTCTTCTTTTCCTAGGTCCTCCCTACTCCTGCCCCAATTCCATGCCACCTTTGCATTTTTTTGCAACATAAAGTTTTCTCTTTTATGTTCTTTTTCTCTTCAGAGTTACTTCTGGTTGTGCAATGTAACCTTATTTTACCCACCTTGAAATGTGTGCATCATGAGAGTGGAGAAAAATCATTTTGAAGACAGCAGGAGGGGGTGGGAAGATCATGCTGAGCCTTAGTTATGTGCACTGCGTACATGTAGGAGAACTACATGGTTTATTGTCCAAATGTACAAATCATGAAAGGGGCACTGTTAATAATTACCCTTGATAACAGGTGCACTTAGGACTGGCCCTGGGCAAAGTAGACTCAGGGTCACCCTAATTGTGTCTACTGGCATCCACTAAGAGTGGATGAATTGGGGAGGGGTCCTTTGCACTTCTGAGTTCCTGCTTCCTCACCTGCAGAATGGGAGAAGGCCCACAGGCATGGAGTGAGAATGACGGAAGATCGTATCTGGAAAAACTCTCTATAAACTCTTCAAACAAGGGATTCTTTTTTTTTTTTTTTTTTTTTATTGTGATTTGGGTGAAGATTTACAGAGCAAATTCATTTTCCATACAGCAGTTCACATATACTTTGTCTCATGTCATTGACCACAGTTTACCACAATGCAACAGCTCCCCTCCCACTTCCTCCCTATAGTTACCTCTTCCCAGTGTCCATCCCTCCATACTCTCCTGTCCCCTGAGCTGTCTCCCTATGCATAAGCAGCCCTTCCTTCTCCCATGATTATTCTCTCCAGGGCGTGTGTCTACTTGGGTAAATGTTTAACTCACATGCCTGTACTTTGTTTGGCTGGAAACCACAGGTGTGAGTTCAATTCCAGACCTGAAGAGCAGCTAGGGGCCATAGTCTCAGTGGTTCCATCAGGCTCTATTGGGCCAGCAAACCTGGTCCCCACCATCTTTTTTCTTTTCTTTCTCCAAATGATTTTGAGTTTTGTTCCACATTGTTCTCCCTCTCTATGCAGGATCTCTTACATCCCTTCCAAGTGGATGACAGTGGTAGCCGGGAACCATCTAGTTCTTCTGGTCTCATAGTCGTATAGGTTGCAGATCAGATGGTGTATCAGTCGCCAGGACTGATTGTTTCCATTAATTTTGGTTTTCTTCTTTCTTCTTTGCTCTTGATGAGGAGAGACCCATCGTTGCATCTAGATGGCAGCTTGCTAGCTTTTAAGATCCCAGTCACTTGCCAAAGTAAGAGGTGGAACAATGTTTTGTATAGTATGTTATGCCAACAAACAAGGGATTCTTATCTTTGCTAGAGCTGCTACCCACTCTGGGGCCATATTGTTAAATGGCCATATTATTAAATTGTTGATAGATTCAATCTCCTGAGTAGCTGCTGCTGCTTTCCTTCCCTTCCTCCTTCTCTCACAATTATTAAATTGTGCCAATGCTCTTCAGATAGTGGTAATCACCACAAATCTCAGAACTTGAGTGATGGGTCTAAATCAAAAAAAACAGATTTTTATTAAAAAAAAAAAAAAAAAAAGGAACCAGCTGCTTTCCAATTTCTTCATTAAGCATTTGACCAGGCCAAGGTTTGCTATGTGCATTCATCTTGAAATAACCTGGGAGGTAAAATTACTTTAAACATAGCTTTAAGAAGGAAGATTTTATTTTGCTTACTCAGCATGATGTAGCAATTAAAATGCTGGTTTTCCTCTTCTTTAAGAGGGGTCCTTGAGTAATTTATGGCTTCCCCCACGAGAGATGTCCATGCTCTGCTGAAATGAAATGATTTTCATTAAGGATAGGTGTGATGCTTCAGGATCTTCTCACTGAAATCTTCCATTTTTGTCTCACTGTTAGATACCCAGGGCCCCTTCCTCCAGACCAGTTTAGACTAGCAGTCTAGTGTCTTATCAGAAAAATTCTTGGTAAGAGTGAATATGATGATGGGAACTTCACTTTCTGGGCCTTCTAGAGGTCCTCAGCTCAAACCATCAATAATTTCTGTTGATACCGTCACAATAAAACAACAATGTGCAGTCTGTCGGTGGAGGCCGGTATGTTGTTACAATGCTGAGGAACAAGTTTCAGTGGAACTTCCAGAGTGAGATGGACTAGAAAGAAAAGCCTGACAATCTACATCTAAAGAAATGAGATAATTAAAATCCTGTGGACCACAGCAGTCCTGATCCATTGTGCATGGTGTCACCATGATTTGGCTGACCCTAAGGCAGCTAACTGTACCAACCTAGCCAGGTCCTGGGCCATATGCATTACATGTGTGATCTCATTTATGTTACTTTGCACAACAACCTTGTGAAGTAGGTATTACTCTTCCTGTTTTACAAATGAGAAAGAGCTAAGGGAGCTTAAGAAATGTCTAAGATTGTACAGTTAATTAGTAATTTTAGTGTTTCAACTCCCCTCATTTGCTCTTTTGATTCTAAAATCTAGACTTTTTCTCTCAGAGGCATTGTCAGTTTTATTTTTGCTGTAGAAAGCTGTTTTGTTTTGTTTTTTCAGAGACAATATAAGTCAATTATAGAATATTAGGGGGAGGCGTAATTAAACTTCTTCAGAGCACAAAGAGTTTTTAGGTACCTCAGTAACTGTAGAAATAACTATATGGGAACAATTCAAGCAAAGCTCATCTCATAAATCTCTATACTGTTAGCCTAGTTCACATCAATACATAGGATTGAAAGCCACATCTCCTTTTAAATATGTGTGTGTTTGTGTGTGTGTGTGTATATATATATATATATATATATATATATATACACACACACAGCTAATATTGAATATATAAATTAGATATATATGAATAATATATATAACAGTTGCCATCAAGTTAACTCTGACTCATGGCAACCCAATGTGTGTCAGAGTAGAATTGTGCTCCATATGGTTTTCAATGGCTGATTTTTTTTAAAAGAAGATTGCCAGACCTTTTTTCCTAGGTACTTCTGGGTAGACTTGAACCTCCAGCCTTTCAGTTAGCAGCCAAGTGTGTTAACTGTTTGCACTACCCAGGGACTTCACTATTATATATAGGATATAGCATATATCATGTGTTATATATTATATTACATTTATATAAATATATATTATAAAGTACATAGAGAGAGAGCCCCAGTATCATGATGGCATGAAGGTTAAAGTGCTGGGCTAGTAACCAAAAGGTCAGCAGTTTAAACCCACAGCTGCTCCAGGGGAGAAAGATGAGACAGTCTGGTTCTGTAAAGATTTAGAGCCTTGGAAATCCTGTGGGGCAGTTATACTCTGTCCTGTAGGGTTGCTAGGAGTTGGAATCCACTTGACAGAAGTGGTTTTGGTTTTGGGTTTTGGTTTTATATATATATATATGTATATATTTCATAGAGTTAGCCTTGAATGCAGGGACTAATGAGTCAAAACTTGTATGGTTTTTATTAAATTGGTGAAATTATCTAAGGAAACTCCTTCAGAATCATTCACCAATAAATATAAAGTTAGCTGTTAGAGAATGCCTAATGAAAATTGCTGTATTTAAGTGGATAAAAATTTTTTTCAGGTCCCAAGTGATGTAAATATTCTTATTTACCAAATGGTGTTAATTCATAAGACTGTAAAAGCCATAAGAATATAGCCAAGCTGTCATGTTAGAAGTCAAATGGGTCTTTGGCTCTCTTCACCTCTTATCACCTGTCCCTTTCTCTTTGGATCAATACTTACTTAATTTGCTAGATTTGTAAGGAATTGAATTCTGAATGTCCAAAGAAAGGGGGTTGTAGAAGATCTCCCTGAGGTGATCAGTATAGAGTGGGTCCTCATATATTGTGGGTATCACATGGAGACATTTGCATCTGTGTAAGGAATATGGAGGGGATAGTGAGGAGGGAGTAAAGAGGGGCAGCTTCTCAGGCAGAGTATTTGAGTTCATTCTGGAGCGTGGGTGGACAGTGGCATTCCAGAAGAGGGACAGCACACACATAGATGGTGAATGTATGTCCATATTGATCGGGAGTCTGTAGTGATTGTAGTCACAAGCCCTCACCCTGTCTTTGGGTTCTAGGTCCAACCCGAAAGATGCCCCCTGATGCCAGTGCCATGGACTTCTTCCAGCTCTTTGTACCTGACAATGTTCTCAAGAACATGGTGGTGCAGACAAACATGTATGCCAAGAAGTACCAGGAGCGGTTTGGAAGCGACGGGGCCTGGGTAGAAGTGAGCCTGGCGGAGATGAAAGCTTTCTTGGGGTACATGATCTCCACCAGCATCTACCACTGTGAGTCTGTCCTTAGCATCTGGAGCGGTGGCTTCTACAGCAACAGGAGCATAGCCCTGGTTATGAGCCAGGCCCGCTTTGAGAAGATACTCAAGTACTTCCACGTCGTGGCTTTCCGCTCCAGCCAGACCACGCATGGTCTCTACAAGGTCCAGCCCTTCCTCGACTCCTTGCAGAATGGCTTTGACTCTGCCTTCAGGCCTTCCCAAACCCAGGTGAGGCTTTACCTCTGTGTGGGCAACCAGGACATCAGGGTGGATCACTCGAGGTTCCTTGTGCTTCTCCTCATCACTGTAGCTGGCTACAAGAGGGCAGAATTGAAGCAGGAGTAAAGATGGGGGGCTTTCTTCCTCCCCTGTTTTTATTCTGAGGTCAATTCTAGGTTACCTTTGCTTTCTTTCATTCCATTAAACCATATATTAGATTGAAGGGAATAGTTGTTTTAATTATTCCAAACTGCAGCTATGTCTCAATTAGGTATTTTACGCTAAGATGCAATTTCCCTCATTTCTTCTCCCCATCCTCCCTCTCCTTTAATTACACTTTCATTCCAAATTATGTTTTGCTCTGGCTATTATTATTATTATTTTATAGTGATTTGGGTGAAGATTTACAGAGCAAATTCACTTTCCATACAGCAGTTCACATATACTTTGTCTCATGTCATTGACCACAGTTTACCAC